GCCTGCAGGGACATATTTTGACATTCAGCGGCACGGTGCCTACTTTAGAACAAGCTCTTGGTAAAGGAAAGTTCAGGCCAAGCCCCAGGATGCACGACTTTTAAATCAAGAGCACTCAGTTGTATTTCCTGGGTCTAACTACCTCCCTGGGTATTGTAACATATTCAGTTATAATAATGCTAAACCACTGAAAAAGAGGGAGAGGGTTCAGGAAAAAAAAAAATTAAAAATCCCTCTAGATTCTGCTTTTCTTTAGCTTCACAGAACTGACCCCCAATTCAACCCATGAAGGAAGGGAGGATTAGCTTCATGGAGGATGATTATAAAAAAAAGTGGCTAGTTCACTCAAATTTATTTACTTCTGCCACCTTCTATCTACATAGAAATCTGCAATATTCGAGCTTCTACAAAAATTCCTTCCTAAAAAAAGCGTTTCACTTTATCGGCCTGCCATTTTAAATATGTCAATATAAGACAGTGGTTCTCCACCTTTCTGGACTCAAGGCCCCCCTCCATAACTTCTGTGAATTGAGTGCCACCCGATTTCAAATACTAATTTATAGATGACGGTGCTTGCAGAGGGGGCTCGGAGATTGTCCAGGCAGGGACATGCCTTAGCCTATGCTTATCATTTTACTTTACCTGTTTATCTCCTAACACCTCACTTATCTCCTTCAAAATATCTGCTGGTGCCCAGAACCCAGGTTGTGAATCGCTGATGTAAAGTTTCATGCTGTGAAATTTAAGGTACTAACATGCCCGCCACTACAGAAGGGTCACATTTAACATTATAGCAATCAAGAGTCAAACTCAAAGGTTTTCCTGAGTCGAACAACCCATTGGGCAAGTGCAGTTAAGACCCACTGGCTCCCAAACCCAACAGCACACAAGGGAGCGATGTGGCATCACATCCGGCTACCTTAGACTGTCCAGCCTGAATGGATCCTGCTCACAGCTCGATTGACCCAGGGGCAGCCCTTGGCACAAGTCCAAAGCAGATCTCTGGGGCTGTCTTAACCACCATGCCACGGTTTTAAGACCTTGTCCAAGACAATCTAGTCTACCTCCCTGGGCCTTCATAATCCATAAACTGCAATAAGATGAAAATTCGTCGTCTTAGCCGATACACTAGAGGTAAAAGAACAAGGAAGGGCAGCATTAATGCAAAAAGGAGCGCGTGCTTCCACTGAAAGGAGAAACGCTTTAACACAGCAGTTTCGCCATCCCACGAATATTTGGATCCTGCTGGCAAAGAGCAGCTACTATTCTCATTTCAAGTAATCCACCCAATCTGCCCAGAACCTGGCCTCGTATTAGGGATGGATGAACGGTGCGCATCTGATGGGGAGTGGGGTCAACTCTCTCTCATCTCTGCCTCTCCGTAATCACATAACTGTGGCATTTTTTTTTAATCTGTCCCCTTTCCTATTCCCCACTAAAAATAGCAGAACTCTTAATTTCTCAGCCTTTCCTTTGCTCTGCAGATAGGGAAATGCTTAAAGGAACGCATAACTAGGGAGATGCTATAAAAAAGGTGAATCTTTCAACTCTTTCTAAATTAGTCAGACTCGTCACCAGTAAATAAAGGTCACAGGAGATGGTTTCATCAGCAATTTGTTTAGGCAAGTGCATAACCATATATAATGTTAGAATATGTATATATAATAAAATAAGAGAGAGATGTATAATACTAGATAATATTAGAATATGTATATACAATCAAATTACATACAAGTGTATAATATTAGATAATATTAGAATATGTATATGTGATAAAATCATTATAAGTGTAAACTATACTTATAATTCTGATTATATATGATATAAAATTATCATTATACAATAATTCTATATAATATTATAATATTTGTACCTGTTAATATGGTTTCTAGTAAAGGTTTTTGCACTAGTGTTACAAGCAGATGTTTCCCCCCAGATTATTTCAGCCAAATTCCTTGTTACAGCATATTCCAAACTGGTTCTCAAATGCCTGGCTAATCAGCCAGACCATGTGACAATGTTACTGTGTTCTGATTGGGTGGCTTTGCAACACTCCCACCATGAATACTTGAGCACATTTAATTTAATGCCCCGTTTCAATGAATACTGATACACAGGCCTCTGAAGTTCACTTCCAGGAACATTTCTTTCAGAAGAACCTGAAGGTACAAGGCATATTAATAACCATCCCACTAGATCGTCTGTGCCCCAAGCACTAATGTTTTTGAGCTGCGATATTAAACTGACTTGTTGGTGGTTATGAGCATTTCACACTGGAAAGCCTCTTGAGGAGCCACAGCGCATTTCTTCATCCCCTTGTGAATTAGGAATAGTTTGCAAATAATAGACAATCCCTGGCATTACTGTTGCTGTTTTGGCTTCTAGTCCCGAATCTCAGAATAAGAGCACTTGGAACAAAGGGAGTGTTACTCTTGAACAGACCCTAGGTCAAGCTGGTCCGATATCCAGCTTCTAGACTGCTGTGAAGAAGTAAGCCAGCTGCTAGCATATGTTTGCATATAAATGTGCCATTATTTCCTATCATAAGCATAGGGGAGTAAGGCGATTTCACTTCCCACAGCATGGGGAACTGTTGATATAAGCTGAGCTTTAAGGGTGACCACCAGGTCTGACATTTCAAAGGACAGCAAAGACATCCCATAATGCACTTTCCCAAATGTAAACTGCTTTGTACTGGGGGGCAAAAATCTCCCTAGCACAGGCAGGAGATCAATTTGCAACCGGAGGCATGAGATTCAATTACCCATTTCATTATCCTAGCTTGCGTAGCTACAAATGTGAACCCTCAATGAGCCAAGGAAATAGTCACTAGCTGTCACTTGAAGAGCGAGGGAGATAATGGAAAGGGGAAATACCAAGTGACTGAGAACTGCCCCTGCTGCACGGAGAACAGCAGACCCTGCCTGTACGGACGGGTAGGATTTCCACTGCTGGAGGATATCTGCATCGTAGGGTCGCATGCAAAAAACTTCACTCTGGAATCATGTGTCGTGCAAATCCAACCAGAGGGCCAAAAAGGACCAGGAGGACTCCCCTGCCAAAGCAGGGAGGAGCATAAGAGTTAAAAGATCAAATACCGGTGATTGATCCTTGGAAAAGACTTTTTTTTTTTTTTTATCTATCCAATAAATTCCAGAAAATAAATTGCGATCTGCCTGCGAATTTTTGATGGGCAGGAAATAAATGGTTTGTTATAAATTATTCACTCAGCTCTAGTTAACTACAAAGCAGGCCCCTTATCCAGCTTTTAATGTTCTTCTCTAGATAATAAGCAGGGGGGGGTTGCTTTTTATGCTCATTTTTACATTATTAGATACATTAGGCCGTTTGTAAATAAAGTGAAAAATTTCAAACAAATCTAATGCTTTTTCTGGCCATCTCTTTAAAAGTCCTTTTGGTTCAGGAGAGTTGAAAATTCTGCATATCATGAAAGGCTAAAATGATAATGTGCTATCAGCTCAGCAATTATGAACGGGACTATAATGTCCTTTCATAAGACCTGGCACATAAATTATGGGCCAGATGTCTTTCTGGGAAGCATCACACACCTCAATAGCTATATATAATATATAATAATCCTGCAAGAAAATCTATGCGGCAGGTATATTTATGTGGAGAAAAAAGGTTACTTAAGAGTAACTGGGCTTTCTAAATATATTGCCTCTGCTGAAGCTAGGAGCCATGTGGGATGGGTTCTGGAACCAGCTCAGGGCGTTATGACCACTGGTGGTACAATCACTGACAGGCACCCCAATGGTAGCAGCAAATGTTTCAAAATGTCATTATGAAAGAAATATATCTTCAAGCACCTACTCTGCTCATTTCTCCCTTTCCTAAATAACTTTCAGTTAGATTCAGAAGCAGCGATGGAAGAAGCCTTAGCATAGAAAATAAGAGTGACCATCTTCCCCTGGAGAATTCTTAACATCCATTAGAGTCTCATCATCTTATCGCCCATAGAGTTGGCGATTAGCAGCAAGCAGACAATTGCAGGGGAGAGCTGAGAAACACAAATGAAAATAAAGAACCAATCAATCAATGAGGGACATCCTGCAACACCTCCGTTTCTCCATAGAAGTCTCCCATCCACAAAATTGCCAGGCCTTATTCTGCTTAGCAACGCAATACCTAATTAGATCACGGCCGATGGTACCATGGCTTCAGTGAGTGTTAGTTAGTCTTGCATTGTAAGCAAAATTTAATACAGTATAATACATTTCTCAGGGGCTCTTCCAGAGCTGCATGCAATACATGTAATTGCCCCCACAAACAAATCATCCGCTAATCAACTGCTTTTCATTATCACTTACAACAGCACATTTATTTTGTAAATAAATGCATTAAGAGTAAACAATTTTAGGGAAAACAAAAGATTTCCTGAATATGCTCTCAAGAGAGGAAGAGGTAGAAAAGTGCTAATTCAAATACTAAAATGAGGCAAAATTAACATAGGATGGAGTGATTAGTCCTCTCCATGTATCACTACCTATTACACTAAAATAGCAGACAGAAATCTCTGACTTTAATGGATGATCTAGGTAGCTGAAGAGAATTGTGATTGACTGACACATTTACATAGAGGCTGATGAACAGCATAATGAATGCATTTATAAACATGGCTGAGGTCTCCTGAAGATTTAGCTGAATTTAGCTCACACATCCAAGCAGACATGTAGAACAAATTTCGTGCTATAATTCATAGGCCTAGTCCTTAGCTTCTTACCCTGACAAATATAGCATTGAGCATAGTTGCTCACTAGGAAATGATTTCAAAGAGAGTTTTGCCTATGTAAGGACTTTCTGGGCCTGGCAGTACTGTTTGGCCATATGAGAGCTGTCAGTTCACATAAAACATTTTATTTCTGCATCAAGTCCAGCAATAAAGAGTATAGAAAATTGAATTGTATGAGCCTGTGCGGTGAAACAATGCAAAGTTAAGAGCACGATATGATGTGCAGCTTCAACAATGCATGCCATACCTGTAATTTCCTAGATATACTCCATCTGGATTAAGCATCGGTGCAATCTTGAAAACCAAATGATCCCGCAATACTTTGGCTACCGGATGTTGGCTCACCAGGAAATCAATTATACCTGGAAGAAATAAGAATGGCCTTAAGATCTTGTGTGTGAAAACCACAATGTCAACACATTTGTTGAATTTTGCTCCTACAAAAATAAAATCGACATTCTTTTCTGTTGAATTCAGGGCTCCAACAAAAAATATAATGCGAGCAGTCACATACCACTTTACATGTTTCAAGTACTTTACAAATGTTTGTTAAATAGCCTTCAATCCATCCCAGAGAGATAGATCCATATAACCTCCCCCCATCATCTATTCAGAAGAAGAGGTGAGATTATCAACAGGTGAAGCAGACAAGAGCCTATTAACATCAGTGAAGTTACACCCTCTGACTATCAGTGTGACAGGGGACCATCTCAAGGCCAGTCCAATTGTTGGCCCGCTTGCCTGCCTAGGGCAGTCCACTGACATGACTCTCCTGCCACGCCTCTGTTGGAACTAAAAAGTTGTTGATAGACAGGAGGCTTCCCATTTATTGCCCCGATGCCAAGAGTGTAATACATGGCTCCAGACCATCCCTACACCGTGTCCCATGCCTCGCAGACAGCATCCAAAAATCACTTCCAACTCCCAAAGCCCCGTAGCTGGGCCACACTTGGCCTCCAGCCCAAACTTGGCCTCAGGTGTCCTCAGATGTGCCTGGGTCACATGTGCCCTCTCCAGGGCCACAACTCTACTCCCTCACTGGGGCCCCTACTCCACCCCTCACTTGGGCTCCTGGGCCTTATGCCCTTTAGGCCTCACTCTGGGGTCCCGGCCCCTATGGCCTCAGGTCCCTTGTTGAACCTTGGATGTGTCTCAGACCCCACTCAATGGATCTGGACCCTGCCTCAGGCTCCAGTCAGTGGACCTTTGCTTTTCTGTCAGGGTGTGCTCCCCAAGCCTTTCCCTTCCACGGGGTACCCACAAGGCAGTGGGGGCTGAGGCTTTCCAGTGCCTCATCCTCACCTTTCAGTGGGGAGGCACAGGTATGGCATTTCCTGGAGACTGCCCCATCACAGGCAGCCCCACCACACCATCCAACCCCAGCAGGGTCTAGTTTCAGGTCATGTCCCAGGAGCAGGAACCTCCTCCATCCCCATAGTTCCTACCCTGACCTCAAGATGTTTTGGGAGCTGCAGGCTGAGTGATGTTGCACTTCTGGCTTCCTAGGTGTAGCTGCCAGCTCTGCTCCTAGGGCCTGGGCTTAAACTGAGACTCTCCAGCCCTCCTCCAATCCAGTGGCCCCCTTTAAATGATGTGCCAAACTGCACCTGCCAGCAACTCAAAGCCTGCCTAAAATTTCATAAAGTGGCAGGCATAGCCAGTGCTCGGCCACAGGTTGCACCCTCTGACTATCAGACATGAGACAACAGGAAATATTTTCTCCTCAGGTTACCCCAGCATAAATTAGGAGTAACTCTACTGAAAGCAATGGAGTTAGAGCAAAATCAATGCAATTGAAAGGAAAACCAGCACTTTCCCTAGGATCATAATTAGCATCAGAGCTGACACTGAGACACCGGAAGTCATGAGTGCTAATCTTGGGCTCAGGTTACTACTTTATAATGAGTGGTGGTGGTTGTGGAGTCGGGAACCTATTCCACCTGCCATGAGTGGGCTGAGGTGTTTGGCAGCACTAGTGATACAGGGTGGAGGAAGAAGTTGTGTTCAACCATACGCTGAACAATTATTTTTTTATTATTATTGTTTCTACTAATTTTCCAGGAACAGAAGTTAGGCTCGCTGGCCTGTAATACCCTGCACCCCCTCTAGAGCCTTTTACTGCGAGGTTCATCCTGTGAAGCAGGAACTTTTTACTGATTTTCTCCAAAATAAATCAATCACTGAGCTAGTATAACAGGATTAAATTAAGCAGAGAAAAAATAAGGCTGATCATCAGGAAAATTTCACTAATGGTGAGCTCTATTAGACTGTGGAATAGTCTCTCTGGGGAAGAAGTGGAAGCCTCGTCATCAGAGTCATTTAAAATTGGACGAGGCAAAACACTAGGGAACATACAGCAGGAAATAGTTCAGCTTCAATGGGACAGCTCATGCTAACTAGATGATTTAGAGAGTTTCTTCCCTCTCTTACTTCTATAATCTGACCAACTTCTATTTTTAAATATCACACACCAGATAGAACACTCGAAACAATAGTTCAGCTGACTGTAAAGCCCTGCCTAAGTAGATGCTTACATGGATCGATGTCCCAAAACCTCACAAATCGGACCCATTTGCTAAAACGCATTTTGCTGTTTTAGTATCAAAAAATGTAAGCGATGCTCACTGCCCCGAGTGAATTCTGTTTTATGGTGGCACTGAGGTAAAAATCAGGGCTTCTCTATTCAAAAATAACCAGAGTATCACAGACCTTCAATACTGACAATTTTTCATTGTTTAATGGCTGTTTTTCTATGCATTTCGAAGGAGACAGAATCTCTGTTATTCAGGAGATCTCTCACCAGAAACCACAGTGGTATACAAGGTTAGTAAACTGCACAAATATGAAAGGCCTAGTTTCTTAAATACTACTGTTCTGACTGGTTGCTGGCAGTTTCTAAACCACAGTACACAGTGAGCACTATTAGAGGACTCACAGATATTTAAAGGTATACTATTGTATTCTTAAACATTATAGTGACGTGGAGAGATATTTGTCCCAGTCTGCCCCTGGCCTCTATTTTCCTTCTGGTAGTTGTTCTGGTAGCCTAGAACACATCCTGCACTGATGACAATGTCACCTAGGAAGAGGGTTACAGCAGCTCTCCGTGCTTTGCTTCTCTTATTTCATGAACTTTCTCTGATGGATCTTGGCAGGAACATCCTGCTAACGAGGAGCTGCAATCTAAATTTTATATAGAAAATCTTGTTTTCTTTTACTGAGCTCTTAGGTAGCAGGTGATATTCAGAGCATTGAATGCAGGTTGTGTGAGCAATGACAAGATTGCACTGGACAGGAAATACTGCCAGCACACAAAACGTTTTAGTCAGCTCAGTTTCTCCTTTGCCATAAAACGTGGCCATTGGAAAGCATGTCCTATGTTTCAAGCTGTCCAGCACCAGGCTCCCTAAAGTGCTTTGCCTCCTCCATTAAATCTGTAAGGGGCTCTTCTTGCATAGCACCTTAATGTCTCAAACTCAGACCTAGGCTTCCTTATGCTTGGCACAATATTCATGTATAGTGAGAGAGAAACCTTGCTTGTAATCTTAATAGACTAGAAAAATGAAGGGTGGGAGGGGAAGCCAAAGTGAAGTGATTTGCCCATGGCTAAGCAGCAGGGCACTGGCAGAGGACTAAAACTTAAGGGTCAGGCCCTATGAAGATAGACTAAAGGGCCAGAATCTATTCAGCCTTTACAAGAGAAGACTGAGAGGGGAAAACCAGCACGGGTTTGTCCCAAGTAGATCCTGCCTGACAAACCTTGTAGCCTTCTATGACCAGGTCACACACTGCCTGGACACGGGAGCCGAGGCTGATGTCATCTTCCTGGACTTTAGGAAGGCCTTCGACACAGTTTTGCACCCTAGCCTCATTGGAAAGCTAGCAGACTGTGGAGTGGATGCCTACAGAGTCAGGTGGGTGGCCAACTGGCTTAGGGACCGCACCCAGAGAGTGGTGGTGGATGGTTCCTTCTCAGCCTGGAGGGAGGTGGGCAGTGGGGTCCAGTAGGGTTTGGTCCTCAGACCGATATTATTCAACATCTTCATCAGCAATTTGGACGAGGGTGAGGAGAGCACCCTCTCCAAGTTCGCTGATGATACCAAGTTATGGGGCAAAGTTAGTACACCGGAGGGCAGGGAGTAGATTCAGGCTGAGCTGGACAGGTTGGATCAATGGGCAGAGAGAAATAGGATACAATTTAATAAAGATAAATGTAAGGTACTCCACCTGGGAAGGAGGAACCCCCAGCACACCTATAGGTTGGGGAGTGTCCTTCTCAGCAGCTCGGAGGCAGAGAGGGATCTTGGGGTCATAATTGACTCCAAGATGAACATGAGCCGGCAGTGTAACGAGGCCATCAACAAGGCCAATCGCACCTTGTTGTGCATTAGCAGGTGCATGACTAATAGAACAAAGGAGG